CATCACTTCTTTAAGAGCCACTTTGCAAAGCGGCTCTCAAAGAGGTGGCAGCTGTGAGGCTTTTTTGTCAGCCAGCCACTTCCTAGCAGCAGCAGCGACTGGCTGGCGGCCATCAAAAATTCCAGTCAGCTTGCCTTCCAGACTCTGGACCAGCTGCCACAGAAGATGAGCAACCAAAGAGGCGGGGGGGGGGAGGAAGTGGGGCTAAGGCTGGGCGCCAAAGGAGGGGAAACGGGGGCAACTGGCAAAGGGAGGGGGGTAGATAGGGAGAAATCCTAAAAAAAATTCCTACCTTTTCCTGTGGGTGTGGCTTGGTGGAGGGATCATGTGACTGAGTGGGTGTGGGCTTGAGTGACATCAAGTTGGCCATGTCCACTTAGTCACATGCCCCCTCCCCTCCCACCTAGCAATGCCCACCGAACTGGTAACGAACATTTTTGAATCCCACCACTGGTTATGACTTCTTCATTCATTCTGTTAATGCAGTGTTTCTCAACTTCCTCAAGTGTAAACTAGGTGGACTTCAACTTCCAGAATTCCTCCAGCCAGCATGCTGACTAGAGGAATTTTTGGAGCTGCACTCTGCCCAGCTTAAACTTGCAGAGGTTGGAAACACTGTATTAATGTTTCCCAAAGAAGAGGATGCATCATTGTCAATCACTATTAATCAATGATTTGGTAATCTGTTACAGAGCATTCTATTACTCTCTGAAAATACTTTGTACTCATTCAAGAAACACAAGACTGGCTGACTGTGATTTAGCTGCCACTATTTTGTTCCAGTGTGTACTCCCTAAAGTAATTACTTCCTTTAGAATGCCAAGATGCTCTTTATTTTTATTGTAGCAAATTGCTTATACATTCACTTCAGCATTTATGTACTTCTTTTTGTTGCTTTTGTTCACCAGTATCTATATTTCAATCAAAAGCTCCTGGTTTAGAAATTAATTGTTGATCAATGTTGTTAGATAACATACTATGTCAATTGATAGCATTATTAAATAATTAGACAGCTATTTGCAAGTTTTAATGCAAGATATTTATTGCAGAAGCAAAACATTTACATGAAAATGCAAGGTTGCAGGAAATCCCAGTAAATTTGCAATTAGCAGATTTACATCAAAACAAGTCTGAGTTTGATAGGACATACTATACTTCTAAAGTATTATGCTTTGTGCTGGATACTGTATAAATCACTGATGGAATAATGAATCTGAATTATAACTGTAGAGAAATATATTGAAAGAAATATAATTAAAGAGGGCATGTCTGGGCTTTAGTGCATCCAAATATACTCTAGGTAGAAAATGCATTGTTGACAGAATATATAGAACAATTAATTAATTGTATAATTAGTCCTTGCTGGAAATGAAGATATGTTTTATACCCAAAACTGTGCAAAGAGAATTGGAGCGTGTCCCTACGTTTTCTAACCACTACTAAATATTGAATTTATAGAAGCTGATACAGAATAAAGAAAAGTTATAAGATGCAAAGATGGTGGAAATAAGGTTTGCTAAACAGAGAGTGCTTTTCAAGGATATTTGGAGGCAAAATTCTAGGACAGGCTAATAAAGTGGGGGGGTGTGGTATCTCTCAACCACACCAAAATTCTTGATTGAAGTTCCATAAGAATGCAGGTGATGTGATTCAAGGCCTCACACCTAACCTGACAGCCAACTGCGCCTGATCTCCCAACTACAAACCATTGCTCTCAATTTCCTATTGTTGTATGGTGGGTAGCGCAATCTGTTCATCATCTCCATGCCCATGCTGCGCAAAAGACAGCCACGGAAGTGAGTAAATGTATCGAAAGTAAACTTTCCGTGGTATTTGCCAAAGCCACTCATTCCTGCAATATTAAAAAGGAAAAATTCAGATCAAATCTATTTATTCTTTTTCATCAGGCTAAACAATACCTGCCCCCAAAAAGGTTTTTCCCCCTAGTACTTAACTATAAAAGGTTTAATATTCAAATTGATATTTTTAAAGAAGAGACTGAAGAAGAGAATTCAGTAGAGACAAGCAAAAAAACCCAAGATAATAATTTCCTAGTCTGCTAGGTTTCATGATCATTGAAGTACCGCTGCCTTAAACCACAATAAAATAAAACTATTGCTTTTTAAAAAAAATCATGATATCTAAAAATTAAAGAGAAATTAAAGATGCACATCAGTTCAACCATGTTTTGTAACCAAAATGCAGTATTGGTTTACACAAAATGTTAACCTGTATTTAGTATAGTGTGTGACCAGCCTACTGAACCGGCGCTACTTATCCTGTTGAATATTTTTGATCTTGTTAGTACCACTTACAAAATCAAAAAATATTAAGCCCTCTCCTTTGACTCCTATTTACCAGTATAATGTAGACCACATTTCCAGCCCTCTCCTTTATTTATAAATAACCAGAGAGCTTATAGCACATTGGGATATTTATTATTTGATCACATTTGATTTAATCTGCAAATATGCTGGACATAGTAAAAAAAAAAAGGACTCTTAATGTCTTTGTCTGAATGAAAAACATCAAGTGGAAAAACTTTTCATGTTGGAAGATAAGGATAGGGATGGGGACAAGAAATGAAGACAGTATAGAAGATAAAAGTCTAATCGTACCAACGCCACCAAATGGTAGGGCAACCGATAGTGCTTGCAGCATGGTATCATTGCCGCAAAAGCTACCACTGCTAGTATTGTCCAGTACATGGTGCACAACCTATAAAGAGAAAAAGAATAGAAGAGTATTAAGAGGCCTGTTCTTAATCAGGTAGGTCAGCACAGAATGGGGTTGGCTAGGTTGGCATGGATGACTTGGTGCGGATGACTCATTATGGCCAGGTGGGCACAGATGGATGGGCATGGCCAGGTGGGCATAGATGAGTGGCCACAACCCAGTTGGCACGGAACAAGTTGCCCCAGCTAACTGAATGTGGAGACAACTTGGTGCCCCATCAGAAAAAACATCAACCCATAATGTTCACTAAAGCCCTGCAGTGGTCAATTTGCTGCTCCTGAGAACAATTTTCCCATCACCCTCTTCTTCTTCCTATCTTCCTTTCTTCCTCTATCATCCAGACTGTATTACCAGTGTGCTACCATGTTGGTTCATCACAGCTTAGCACATAAACATATTTAAAAATAGTGCAAGTCTCCTTTCATCATTGATGTGGTTATGCAAAATACATAATCCAGATTCTCCCACATACAGTATGTTGTACCTAAACAGTATGTATACCTTGGAGTCTGAGGAGAAGGCATATAAAGCTAGTGGGCGTTCTCTGCAATTGATGAAGTCTATGGCTTCGTCTACATCTCTCACAATGAATATCGGCAGGATGGGTGAAAAAATTTCCTCTTGCATGACTGGATCCCATTCTTTCACATTCACCAACACTGTGGGAGCTATAATGGGGAAAAAATCACATCAAGATCTGTTCTGTTTATATACTATAACTTTACTGTCCAATTTAACTAGAGGTTTAGCTTTCCCCATGACTTCATTTCCAATATGCGACCCCAAAAAACATGTCTGTTTTCTTGCTTTATTTAGTTTCTCACTTGCCAGCTCATTAAATTTCAAATTACATTAAAAAACCTTACTGTGTGGTCAATGACAAAGTCCAACTTGTGAACACCAACTTGAAAGGGTGATCTACAGCCCTATATCTACTGATAATGCACTTCTTAATAAGCTTGATTTTCTCCATTGTACATAGATAGTACAGCTAGTCCTTCACTTATGACAAAAACAGACCCCAGAGTTATAGTTGTAAACTGTACCTGTCATTAAGCAAGTCATAAATTGACTGACTCAATTTTACAGACTACTTTTTTTGCAATGATGATTAAGTGAACATAGTGATTGTTAAGCAAACTTAACAGTTGTTAAGCAAACACATTATTTGTGATTATGTTTTTTGCCAGAAGTAAATGCTGGTTTCGGGGGGTGGGGGGGGTGGGAGGACATCATAGTGATTACATCAACACAGGGTACTGAAATATCTATAAAATGCAGGCTGGTTGCCAGGTGCTCAAAAGGCAATAATGTCACCACAGGTTGTAAGTATTTTTTTGAGGTCCTTTGTAATTTTGAATGATTGGTAAATTAGGACCTCTTATAACCACAAAATGTCTTCCTGTCTTTCCCAAACTCCAGATCTTTCTTCCTTACTCTTCCTCCAGTCCTAAATTGTATACTCACCAATATAAAGCTCACTCTCATCAGTCTCTCCACCAATGGCCACATGGCCAGATTCCAAGAAAGCTTGGGCACGCTTGAAATGCCTGTCATTGACCATGCGGGCATAATCAGGTGACTCCTTGGGGTCATGGCCAAAAAAATCACAGATAGCTTGGCGCAGGCAAGGCAACAACAACTCTTGTGCTTCAACTGTACAGATCACATAATCTGGTGCAATGCATGTCTGTCCAGAATTGAGGAATTTTCCCCATACAATTCGGTTGGCTACATTCTGGAAATTGCAGCACCTATCCACATAACAGGGAGTTTTACCCCCCAGCTCCAGAGTTAATGGTGTCAGATGTTTTGCTGCAGCGGTCATGATGATCTTTCCTACACGGTTATTCCCTAAAAAGATATGGCAAAATTTGGGTCAAGAGAGATCTGCAGCATAGCTCCCATCCAGTATCAGAGTCCTCAATTCTGTGCTCAGAAATCATGTGTGTTTTTTTCCCTCTAACATTCTTCCATACAGATCTGCAAAACTCTATACATTTTTTTTTAAAAACCCACTAATTGTAAGTAACAGTTGGAAAAGCAACTGTTTTCAGTGTTTCCTATGATTTTTATTTCATCCAATCTTATTTCATCTATAGAAGCTATTCTTTCCACCTCCTCATTCAAGTTATTAAAAAGTATCAATTTAGAGCCGGAGTGTATTAGGCAGAGTCCATTAAAATCCCATGTGAAATTGCTGTCAAATTCCTGTTAAGCGTTGTTAAGATTATCCTGAGCTGTTCTGGCAATGAAAGAGAGAAGCAAATCTGAGAAAATTTATGTGACTTGAAATGAAATACCTTCATTGTGAGTGGAAAAAGCCCGAAACTGATCTTTTCATTATTTCCAACAGCTGACATTCTGCATCAAGCATAGGCTTTTTCCTACTTACAGTGTGACTACTCATCTTTTCTACCACTTGTGGGCAAGATCTACTATCTAGAAGCTGCTGAGGGGTGACCATAAAAATGCCACATGCATTTCCCTGGCTTAACTTGCCATTAACTCAGATAGACACGATAAAGCAAATTCCTCAATATGCAATGCCTTCTAGAAAGACAATTTATTAACTATAGAGATAAATTCTACTGCAGATGGAGGGGACAGGGTTCTAAAGCAGTGGCCACCAACTAGTGGTCTGTGGACCACTGGTGGGGCGTGAGAAAATTTTGATGGTCCGCAGAAAAATTATTTGCATTTTTTATATTGCACTAAATACTATTTATGTTTTTTTTTATTCATACTATATCAAAATTCATATCACCCCTATGGTCCACGGGATTTAAAATTATGAATTTAGTGGTCTCTGAGGTCCGAAAGGTTGGTGACCCCTGTCCTAAAGAATTATTTTAGAGAAATTATCTGAAGCTTCAGTTTCAAGGATGCTGCAAACAACGGTAAATGCAGGGCAGTAGTAGAGGGCCCAATAAAGCAATGAATATTGCTTACCACACTGTTTTGTACAGACATTAATGAAAATATTTTAAATATTTAATAAAAGAATAACATGAAAAGGATATTTAAGAAGAGAAAATCACCTGTATAGAAGATATAATCAAACTTATTTTCCAGTAATTTTCCTGTTTCTTCAGGACCAGCTGGCACCACAGCAAAGGTTTGCTATAAAATAGAAAAGCAAGTTCACATCCAATCAAACTAGCCTTCACATTACACAAGTGGTCCTTGAAACACTGCAGGACCAAAAGCCACTTGGGGCCAATCTGGAACACAGAAATGATGTAGTAAATTTAAAGTAATTAAGATTTTTCTTAAACATTTTGATTTTAAAATGAGATTTCTGCTTTTGATGGAGTGAACATAGGGTAATACAGGTAGTCCTCAATTTATGACTGTTATTGAGCCTGGAATTACAGTTAGATGTTGTGCTGATTGTTAAGTAGATCACCACATGATTATGTCTGATTTTATTTACAGCAATCATTAAGCAAATGCAGTGGTTCCTAAGTGAATCCATTATCTGTGATGGGTGTTTTTTGACAGAAAACAAGTTTTCAGCAAAAAAACCATCATAAATTGCTACCATGCAACTGCAGGATGCTGTAAACATAACTGTAAATGCAGGGCACTTGTGGAGTGCCCCAAAATGCAATTATATAATCTCTGCGGGAGGGATGGGTGTCATCAGAACTTCAAATCTGGCTTGTAAATAGTCCTGGGATGACAGTTGCTAAGTGACGGGTAGGATTTTTTTTTTAGTCTAATCATCCTATGAGAGTGGAATTGTCTTACATTAACAATAATCTCCTAGCCTCAAATTTCAAATCTTCCTCAAATCTCCCCAAAATTGTTTTCCATTAAAATAAGTTAGTTTACCATCCTCAGAAGTATACCATCCATCACAATCCAAAAGAAAATACCTTTTGGGAGTGGGGGATTTCAAATGAATTGGGACAGTTGGAAATAATCTGACTCATCTTCCCAAAATAAATAACTAGAGGGTTTTTGTTTTTGTTTTAAAGGGGCCCAAAGAATTACAGTTAAAACATCTAGAAAACTAAGGCAAATGGCAGAGGAAAAGGCAAATAAAAAACCCTCAGTTTCATTTTCATTTTTTAACCAGGTAAACTGGAAGTTAATGAACTCACCGGATCCATATAACAAGGCAATGCTTTTGCAAGGAGCGCTTCAGTGCAGCTGCTCACCTCTGAAGGCTTGAGAACCACACAATTCCCTAATATGGGGAGAAGATATTTTACCAAGGTTGCAATAAATAAACATCCATCACATGCCTGGATCTCTTGGGAGAACACCCATCAGATGTAATATCTAAAATGAATTGGAGATCACTTGTTACTCACCAGCTGCAATGGCACCCACAAGGGGCATCAAAGTAAGATGGATAGGATAGTTATAAGCTCCTATGATCAGCACCACACCATATGGCTCCTTGCGAATGAAGGCACAATCCATCAGTGTTGCCTATAAAAAGAAAAAAAATCCATGACAGCAATTGGGTGAAGTAGAAAAGGAAATTAATAGATGATTTTGTGGAAATACTTGATGAGCTACAAAATATAAACCCCTTTGATGCCTCCTTTCAAATTAATAGTTGCTCTAATGTACATGAGTTACCCTGAGTTTATCTTCTCCTTTGTCTTCTTTTTAACACCAAGGCTTTAATACCTCAGACATTTGAAAACCTGGGCCAAATTGCTTTCATTTTCATATGCTTGATTTGTTTGGGTGATACTTGGTTTAATGTCAAGTAAGATTCCATCTCAATATTTACGTCAAGTATTTCTGATATAAAAAAGATTTCCCAATGCTAACTGATTATGAGTATGTATTTCTGTTTCAGCTTCGGGAGCTGACACATACGCGTGAGAACACATAGTGTATACAGTTGCCCTCCAGGAAGCATGGTAGACTATATCATGGAAGAGAGGGTCCAAAATAGTGATCAATTTTAGAAATCTTAGGACTTCTTACATTTGGAGGAGAGGATTAAGGAATGGAAGGACTGCCTTAATGGAATGGAATGGCTTACTGTTAGGCTTACAAGGCTTTAAACTTCCAACTTTCCCAAAATCCATCTAACAACTGCAACTCAACTACATCTAAATTAAATAACAAAATCAAGGGGAAAAGGCCAACAATGTTTGATCTTATCACACATTCCACAAGAGGCTCTGGGGGCATCAGGGAGGAATATCATTGACTTTATGTGAAATATGGGATTATAAACGTTCTGTTGAAGGTCAATCTCCTTGAAGGTTGTAAGGAACTTTATGTCAACTGTAGGCCAGACCAAAGAAACCATTCAGGTTAGGGCAAATCCAAGCATAAATGGGATGATTCGTTCTGTTTACGTTTTTGTGACACCCCTTTTTTTTCTCCCTCCCCTCCCCATGCAGTAGGTTTGGCAGCTACATTTATTCCTACTAAAAGCTTGAATCAACAGCTTGAAAAGAATTCTGAAATCAAGCCATAGGCTCTACATTCCTATATTTGCCTTATATGCATGTAAAACATAAGGATAATCATAATTTCACACATAACAGTTAAAACATTTTAATTTCTCTTGCACTGCACACTGATGAGATTATTAATCATACAGACTGGAAAGCAAACAATAGCTATAGGCAACTACGATTAACTGAATTATGAAGTCTATACTTTGATTTATTTGAACGGTAGTACGTTAGAAACGTCTGTTTTAAAGCAATGCAACTTCAATTAATCTAAACTGGATTGCAGAAATTATCCTTAAAAAACAGCTGCAACTTGTTCCTCTGATGGCAGACAAAGTATGGCCCTACAGACCCTTATTTGGAAGCTATCCTAGAACATGAACATGTCAATAACCTGATATCAACCTATTACATTAAATTACAGATCTGGTAATTCCCAAATACCATGGGAAAGGTAATGGGTAGGGAAGATAGAAACATTAATACTCAAATAGTTAGAGATTTGTCTTCCAAGATGAGCATCCACCTGTTTTGAAAGGACACAGGTAGAAAGCCTATCTTCTGCTTGATGAAATAATACACCCTGTAGACTTTCATCCCTGTCTAACATAGAACCGTTCCTTTCCATTTGTTCTTCACCCATTCAGTTTAAGTTCTTACTAGATTCTTGTGCACACATTCATCCCTCATCCAATGGTTTAAGTTGTTCAAAGCATAGGCCAGTTCATTTCTGACTGGCAAAACCTCCGTGAGCTCAGTTTCAAAGCAGGGCTGTGGAGAAGAAAGACAAAATGAGGCATCAGTGATGTCCATACTGAGTACAAAAGGTGAACTATGAAGCAATTCATTGAGTTGTGTTGCATTCAGCATATAGTACTGCTTTGTCATGCTGTCATCCCAATTGATTCAGGAAATTTAATGCTTGAGCTTTACACCAGGACATGGTACTAAGCAGTACTCTTTACAAGAGGTAGATATAGGTAGTCCTCGACTGACCATAGTTCATTTAGTGACCATTCAAAGTTACAACAGCACTGAAAAAAGTGACTTATGACCATTTCTCACACTTAACACCACCATTGCAGCATCCCCATGGTCACATGATCAAATTCCAGATGCTTGGCAACTGGTTCATATTTATGACATTTGCAGTGTCCTGAGGTCATGTGATCGGCTTTTGCAACTTTCTGACAAGCAAAGTCAATGAGGAAGCCCAATTCTCTGTGTTACCAACTTAACACCTTTAGTGATTCACTTAACAAATGGCATACAAGCTCATCTGCAATTCCTCTCTGAGCTGCTAGATGCTCTGGATGAGGGGCTCACTCACCTTGCGTAGGTCTGCACATAGGGCATGCTGGATATCTGCCTGCCTTTCATCCAGAAAGTGGCACAGGGCCTCCAGCTGACTGACTCGATATGCTTTTGGACGGGTCTTTCCTGTCATCCATGTAGCACGTAAGCAATGCACTAGGTCAGAGTAGGCATTTGAGCTAGGATAAAGTAAAATAAACTCATAAAACCAAAAGATTAATGGAAGCATCCCACTCTTTTTTATCATCTATGTTAATCCTGATCCTGTAAGGCAGGTGCCCTGAAAGAACTGGCTGGATAATCGCATTGTCTTTCTTTACTGTAAAACAGAGTTTGCACATTTCTGCCATAACTCAATACCTTTTTGGCTTCCCAACACTTCATACAAAGACTTCTATTTCCAAGAAGACTCAAAAGAATATTTTCCCTTTTGACCCACACTTGTGTTGTTCTTTTTCTGAAGAATGTCAACGTCTCGGGCCAAAAGCAGGAATAGCTGCTGCCATACTTTTCTCATAGTTTTCTTACAAACTCGGTCATTTCCCGATCATTTTCAAAGTCTTTTCTTTCATGTTTGGAACAAAAAATTAAAATGTTGATGTGGTGGAGCATAATCCAACTACTTAGGACAACTGTATCTGTGCTCGGACTTCCAGCCAGCCATACTCACTTCTAGGTTGAAGCAACTTTCTAGTGTCCTTTATAAGAGGTAGTTCACAATTCCCATCTTTTCCAACTACTCATGGTTTTGACCCTTTGGTCAGTCTCTCTGCTGTTTTATATGCTAGGGAGTATCTGAATTATACGCCCTCAGTCAGGCATGGCCTTTTACACATACACTGTGCAAAAGATGTGCTCAACCTCAACCTTTCTTCCTTCTCCTTCCCCTATCCCTGATGAAGAAATAGCGTTCTAAAATATGAGGACTGAACTCTGTTGCACAGAGCAAATTTTTTTCATGTCTAAATTGGGAGGGGGGGAACGGAGTATACCATCTCTCCATCAGTTCTGATAAGGGACTAAATTAACACCATAAGTCCAGAAACAAAGAAGCCAGAGGACATTTCTTCAAGATTGAGGTTATTAATAAGGGACAGATAGCTAGTTTAGTTAGATATTGCATGAAGTTGTAAGTTCTTTCATTTGTGTTAGAACTTTTATTCTATACTACTCTTATTTCATTAAACAGAAATGCATTCTGTGGGTATTCAGACAGATTTACTTTATAAAATTGAGAGCTGATGTATAACTTGAAAGATACCTTTCTCTTAAAATCATTAATTACAGCAGATCAGCAACAACCTGTAATTTGCTATGAGCATATAGTGTATTTATGTAAATCAGGTTTATGGATCATATATTCTGAATTGTTTTTTTAAAAAAAGTTTAATTTTCTTTTTTATGAGATTGACAACTGAGATGATCCATTCTGGTCCAGAATTCAGCTGTGTACACAGTATTGTGTGTTCCAAGGTTTGCCCAAGTTACATCTCTATAGCCCAAGCTGCACTAGCTTCCAGTTTCCTTCTGGGGGCAATTCAAAGTGCTGGTTACCACCATTAAAGCTGTACATGTCATGGGATCTGTTTATTTGCAGAACTGCCTCCCCCTAAGAGTTTCTGTTTGTCCTACCGTATCCTATAGGTATTTTTTCCATCAAATCCTATCATCTTGCGGGACCCCAAAAGTGTGCCTTTTCTACAGCTGCCTCTACTTTATGGAATATTCCATTCTTTTAGCTTGATGACCTTTAGACGAGGTCATCACGACCCTTAAAAAAATCCAGGCACTAGAATAGAACAGAATAGAAGAGAATAGACAGAATGAAATTAGGTAATTGGAACTGGCTGCAAAGCATCCAAAGTGTAAGATGCAGGGTTATTGCTTTTGTTTGAAAATTTTATTGTTTTGTGATTATGTTTTATAGTTACTGCATTTTATTGCTATTGTGAACTGTCCAGAGTTGTTTAACACAGGTAGTCACACAAATCTTCTAAATAAATAAATGAATAAAATCCCTTTCTACATGAAAGTTTGATCTGCTACAATAAGTTCACTTATCTATGATGAACCAATTTAAGTTTTCCATAGCACTTTTTTTTCTAATATGGATACTAAACAAAGCTACTTGTCTATTAAAGAAACAAGAGTCACAGGAAAGCAGCAGAATATTATGGCCAAGGACCAGGAGACTGATGTACATAGAAACCAACGGATTCAGATCAGGTTGATGCAACTCAATTGCTACACTGAAATAATTACTACTTTCACAAGAGTTCCTATTGTGAAATTTGGTCTGTTGAATCCCATTGGGTGACAAGCAGTGACTTGGCAGGGACAAACTGCCAAGATGTTTGCAGAGCCTTCCTGAAACAACTACAATTCACATGCCTGAAGCTTGCTAGAGTTACAGGTGTCACCCTGCATTTCCCAAGCTTGGGGAAGAAGTCAATTGCTTTGTACCAGGGGAAGTAATTCATGCAGAGGAATAGTTCATAAAGACAGCTGTTACGATGGCCTTTTTAAATGCAAGATGCTTTTATCATTTATTACTCATTTTCTCAGTTACCCTGATTATTTTTATTTGCCTGACAAAAGCTTCTATGCATTCTGCACAATAGGCAGTCAGTCTATATTCCTTGCAGACAGATGGTCTTCTGCATCCTTTAAGAGGGTGCAGATAGAGGATGCAGATTACCAGCTGTCTGCAAGGAATATAAATCCTTCCATTTCCCCACTATCCTGTCAGAGCTGAAGAAGCTTCTTGGATGAGAAAAGAAACGTCTTCAAAAGAAAAAATAAGAAAGTCCAATTGCCTCCATAAAAAGCACTTTTGGGACTACCATGACCTGCATGACTGAGAATCTCTACATACTTTTGACTTATGGCCTATTTTCACACTTAACGACTGTTGTAACACCCCCATGGTGACATGATCAAAATTTGGGTACTTGGCAACTGGCATATATTTATAGCAGTTGCACTCTCTCAAGGTCACATGATGACAATTTGTAGCCTTTCCAGCCAGCCTCCAACAAGCAAATTCAATGCGGGAAGCCAGATTCATTTAACAACTGCACAATTCACTTCAGAATTGCAGTGATTCGCTTAACAAGTTTAGCTGCTTTTGCTCAGCGATGGAAATTTTGGGCTCAATTGTGGTCATCGGTTAAGGACTATCTGTATCTTGTTATTACAGGTACAGAACTGTTTTTTATGTGGAGAGATTATATTATCCCAGGTCTAAATCTACCATGCTTCCCCGAAAATAAGACAGGATCTTATTTTCTTATGACCCCCAAAATAAGTGCTTGGTCTTATTTTCGGGGAGGTCTTATTATTTTTGAGGTGCAGGAGGAGGTGGGTGTGGTCACCTCATGGCTTCTACTGTCATGGAGGGCTTAATTTGAGGGGAAGGCTTATTTTAGCGCATGCACTCAAAAGCCCAATTGAGATTATTATCTGGGCAGGTATTATTTTCAGGTAAACATTTTTTTGTAATGTAAAAAATGTGTCTTTCATCATCTCTGTTGCCCCCTTGTGAACACAATTCTAAACTCTAACTCTCTCTGGATTCACACATCATGTTAACCCATAATGTGATTTGTTCAATTTCGATGTAACATCTTGTGTGAACTCTACCACAAGGATTTTAAGCAATACTTACATTTTAGCATGATGTGTGAACTTACTGTAGCCTCAGTAAATCCCTAGACTCAGGTGAATGTGCTTCTGATTCATCTCTGTATCTGATGTACTATCAGGCCATCTACTCACCTGACTCTTTCTTCTGTTTTAGCAATAGAATATCACACAAACTGATCCCAACAGAAAATACAGTCTAGTAATCTGGAGGGATCTCACCTAATCTGTTTTCCTCCATACCAACTTTTTACCTTTCTGAGTCTTGCCTCTCGCTGGAACTGTCCCTGGGTCTTTGGCTCTGTAGACTGGATCTCCCTGAGGAGTGACTCTGTCTGTTTCCAGATGGGTTTTCCCAAGGTTCTCTGTTTTCTTGTCTTCTTCTACCTTGCCATGAAGATCCCCTGGGAGAATCGTGGGGTTTTTAAAAATAAAATAAGTTACTTTTTATTTTAAAAAGGCCTCATTTCCATCTTAGATTGGATTTTAAGACTATTTTATATATCTAATTGTAGTGTTTCAAATATCAAATTTCCTTACGTCTGATAATGAAAGATTATCCTGTTATTCCTTTCAATATGTTTGTATATGAAAGACTTATTTTTCCAGGATAATCAAATAAGAGTTTACTCTCAGTATCGTTTTCCTCCATCCTCCCAACCTGTTTTACTTGGGTGATTGGTTAGTATAACTGAATCAACGTAACCAACCTGCAGTTTGTGCTGTACCCAGTGATAAATTTTTATGTGTGGCTCCTGCTGCTCCATCAGTGGGAACAAAGGACCAGAAGGAAATGCTTCTGATTGTCCCCCAATCAAAAACATTTTTCTCCTGGCCCTTTCTTCCCATTAGTAAATGTGTTTTTATTATCCATTTTCATTTTTGTACAGTCACATATATACTGTGCACATCCGGGGCCATATAACATTAAACAATAAACACAGCCATTCCTCTTGTCAATAATACCCCCAAAAATAGAAACCCAATGTACCTCTTCGACCCTCCATACAGTCTAGTAATCTGGAGGGATCTCACCTAATCTGTTTTCCTCCATACCAATTTTTTACCTTTCTGAGCCTTGCCTCTCGCTGGAACTCTCCCTGGGTCTTTGGCTCTGTGGACTGGATCTTCCTGAGGAGTGACTCTGTCTGTTTCCAGATGGGTTTTCCCAAGGTTCTCTGTATTCTTGTCTTCTTCTACCTTGCCCTGAAGATCCCCTGGGAGAATCATGGGGGTTTTGTTGTTGGTTCATATTGCGATATCCTGAGCTGCTACTCTGCATGCCACCTTTTTGGCAGGTCCAGTCCTCGAGCTTGCACTGCTTTCTGATAGTCTGCCTCTCCAAACTTGCAGGGCTCTGGGTGCTTTCATCTTCAAAAGGAATTTCATGGACTTTGTGTTCATCCAAGGTAGCATCTTGCTGGTCTTCAGATTTCCTGTCTAGGTCCTCAATTTCTTGAACATCTAACTGTTCAAGAAATACACTTGACTCTATTTCTCCAGCTAGAAAAAGAGAATAAAATAATCAGACATGCTCTTTTGCTACTATTAAATCTTACAACTCTTCTGTGTATAACTGCTAATGTTTACTAAATCCATTTCAGGAAGATCTTAATTCCTTAACACTATTTTAGGTCCATGTATTCACCTCTATTATATTCTATATTGAAGAGAACACCATTTGGCGATATAGTCACAAGTTGTGACATAGTTCAGGGCATTCCCTGCCAGTTAATAAAAAACTACATATATTTTAAATTATCACAAATATTTTTGAGTGCAAAGGGAGCCAGCCAGTTAGGAAGTGAAATAAGATGATAGAATCATCAATGTCATTTTAGTGTATTGAGAGAACCACGTTTTTAAATGGTACAGTAAATTGCCTGTAAATTTACTGAAATTTTAGTGAAAAGTGGCATTGTAAACCCCTGGGTAGAACAATTACATTTATGCTTTGTTTTTAAACTTGCACTTCAGCATTAAATGATTTCTATGGAATCCCCTATCCCTCCCTCTCTCTCTCTCTCACACACACACACACACCTGGAGTTTGAAATGATACATATCATTCTGCTATTTTTGTAGCCCAATCTTCCACAACTGGTGATTTCCAGTCCAATTATACTAGACTACAATTCCCTGAATTGGGAGCAAAAATGCTGCTGTAGAATTTTGGGAATTGTAACATCTACACATTTGGAAACTATTGATGTGAGAAAAGTTGGTGATTGTATTAATAGATCAAACCAGATATGGATTCAAATAGCAAATTATGCATGTGAAAGTATTCTTAAATTCAGTAGGAACTTTTACCACAGTTTTCTATGACTGCAGTTTGACAAAAGAGCTGACTAACAGATTCTACTTGCAATGGAAGAATGGTACCCAATTTTAGAAATATGTATACATTCTAATGCTAAATAAACTAAACTTAAGCAAACACTAACTGCACATTTGCCACTTGAATGGAATGAAATAATATTCCATAGTAACAGATGTTCAAAAATACAGTACAAGAGCTTTATAAGTAAAAAACAAAAGTATAATAGAAGCATAGTATAGTTCCTTAAATATGATGGTGTTTAAGCTTCTGAATAACATCATGCCTACCCATATCAGAGGTGGATTGCTCCTGGTTTGGCATCGGCGGAAGGCTCTGCCCACTTGCCCGGACGCTTCTGTTGCATACACGCGAGCACGAGTGAACCGATACTAAACCAGTTAGCAATCCACCACTGATCCATATGTATAATTGGATGGATGTTCTGCCTTTCTGTCAAGGAATTATTAAAACATTTACAGGCATTGTTCTCTTTTATCCTCATAGTAACTTTGAAGCATCCTGACTTACCCATAAGAATCCAATTAAAATACCAGACTAGAGTGGATATCTTTAGTCAAAAACCATTACTTACCTCTGGGTGAACAACACCATGACTGATTTTGCTTCTTTTGATTTCCATAACTAATATCTAGAATTTGGAAATGTTACATACAATATCCGGTCATGTTCAGAAAACAGATCCCATGAAATTCAGAGAGGCTACTGAATCAGGGAACAATAGTTGCAGCTCGAGCCCAAATACATCATAGTATACTTTTGAATCACCTGTTAGTCACCATTCTTCTGCACCTGCCTAGCAAGCCAGAAATAACCATTCAAGCTATTATCAACTCAGGAACAACTGCCAACTTTATGCATTTAAAATTTGTCAAAGATCAAGGAATACTTAGCTTTAACTTCTCCTGGTAGTTGAAACTATTGATGGATGAGCTTTACATTCAGGACCACACCCAAAATTTGCATGTGTTTGATTCAACAAATATACGCAAAGGTAAGAAAAACCAATTGTATATAGGTATAGACAAGGTGAAACTTAGATTAATGTCAGTAACCATAAGAGAGATCTTGGATTCCTAGTGGACGATCACCTATGAGCCAACAGTGTGTGGCAGCAGCCAAAAAAGCCAACACAATCCTAGGCTGCATTAATAGAGGGATAGAATCAAGATCACACACTTGAAATACTGCATCCCGTTCTGATCACCACAATACAAAAAAGATGTTGAGATTCTGGAAAGAGTGTAGAGAAGAGCAACAAAGATTATTAGCAGACCAGAAGTAAAACATATGAAGAATGGTTACAGGAATTGGGTATGTCTAGTCTAATGGGGGGGAAAAGGATTGGGGGGACATGATAGCACTGTTCCAATATTTGAGGGGCTCCTACAAAGACAAAGGGATCATACTATTTTCCAAAGCACCAAAAAGCAAGACAAAAAACCATGGTTGGAAACAACCAAGCAGAGAAGCAATATAGAACTAAACAAAAATTTGCTAAAGGTGAGATCAATTAATCAGTGGAACAGCTTGCCTTCAGAAGTTGTGGGTGCTCTATCACTGAAGGCTTTCAAAAAAAGATTGGACCATCATTTGTCAACTCTATTCCAACTCTATTATTCTATGTTCTATTTTCTAACATCAAAAATTGGTGGTGTTTTCTGTAGTTTTAAGGCTGGAATGGCTTCAGACTCATGGTATGCATATCATGTGATCTGATGGTACCATAATTTTTAAAGCATGTAGTCGCAAAAATCACATGAATTTATCTAGAGAGACTTTAGCAGCTAAACTTACCAAGGAATTTTGTCCAGACTTATCCACCAAGTATGCTGAATCCCAAGGTGCAATCAGAGAAAAGAAAGCAGATCAACTGCATTTCCATAGACCCTATGACTCTCCAATTAATCTTGCAGTTGGCCATTTGATTTGATTTTGATTTTGATTTTG